AACCCCACGCTCTCATTTCTGTAACCTGCTGCAGTTAATTGAAAGCCAATGGTGTGAGAATATGGCTCTTTGACAGAGAGTGTGTCAGGGCACAAGGTCCTCTCTCTCTCTCTTTAAGATCATAGAAATATATGTGAGGATAGATTAAAGCAGAACAGAGCAGGAATCCCTGTCAGAGCAGTTATAGGTCTTTTATTTCATCATATCATTAATACTGCTACTGTGTGTATCTCAGATTGTCAGGAAATCTTGTTTGAATTGTGGCTTCATAAATCACAGAAAAGGAACTACATTGAAACATAGAAATATTTTTACTAATGACAATAAATCACTTCACAGCCTGTTCCTATTGACAGGTTGCATGTGGCCAGGCTAAAATCAGGTAGTAAACACAAATTTGACCATCATGTCAAAGACAAAAAGATAGACTAGGAGAAAATTATAGTGTTTGGCAATGGTGGAAGAAGTACCCACATCTTTAACTTAAAGTAATAGTACTACAATGTAAAAATACTCTATTAAGTAAGTCATGCATTCAAAATCCTACTTTAGTAAAACAATAAAGAAGTATTATCAGTGAAATGTACTTAAAGTATCAAAATACTGATTTTATTGTTGGGGATGCTCGAGATGGAGCTGAATTTAACTACTTTATATATAAATGAACTTTTCTGGTCTAGTGACCACTCAAAGCGCTTTACAACACATTCACCCATTCACATGCTGATGACAGAGGCTATCATGAGAAGGGTCAACTGCTATTCAGGTACGAGACAGCGCTCAAAGTGCTCACAGTGACACTAAGCTCAGATATACACAGACTCACAGCCATTGGTCACCCCATCTCTCCCAGACGAAGTTCTGATGTAAAGTTCAGTTTAAACTTTTCTCTAATTGTTGTTTTTTTGTGAAATATTGGAGAGCCGGACCTTGTAATGGCAATTTTTAAGAACCTGTACAACTCTTTGACCTGGTCATTGCAAAACCATATACATACTGTTAAGGCTATTATATACATATAACCTTTAGTCCTGTTTCTAACTACACTCGATGTCCAAGTAAACAGTGGGATGTTGAGACTTCACTAAGAAGCCAAGGACATGATCATCGCACCACACTATCTGTCTGTTTACTGTCCCAGAACTCAGACTTTGTATGCTTTATTTAACAAATTGCCACCACAACCTCTTCCGGCCTTCAACATTAATTTAAAAGATATAACTAACTAAAACTGAAATATGACAAAGGGCCCCAACTAGACACTACTGTTTTGTAACTACTGCAGTGACAAGCGTTAGACACGGAGCCACTAGTTTGATCTTAAACAATGCAATATATTTTATGAACTTGTGTTTTTAAATATAGAATCTTAATCCTAAAAGTAAATGTCAGATGAAAGTAGAGGAGTAAAAAGTCTGACATTTCTCAAATATAATGGAGTAGAAGTGTAAAGTAGCATTAAATGGAAATTCTCAAGTAAAGAATATTACAGCCTTGTATAATACAGTTCTTGAGTAAATATACTTAACGTAACGTAACTTTCCACCACTGGTGCTTTGTAATAACTGCTTCCTCATATCCTTTTCATGTAGGTTAAAGCAGAAATTCTGCCAGTTATATGGATATGTGGTATTGCTGCTGGGAAAGAAAGAAAGAGAGTTGATAAAGTTAAAACTAAAGATGATGTGAAGTACCATTGGGCTGAGAGAGGCAGACAGAAAGAACCGGCTGTGTTGAAGTAAGAAATGTGAGAGCGAGGAGAACAGAAGCAGAAAGAAGTGAGATTTAGAAAAGATGCAGTTAAAAGGAGAGAGTGAGTGAGGAGAATCTGAGCGCTGAAGATATAGTATATATAAATGTAATATTTGGTGGCTCTTTCTGAGCCGAATGCCACAGGGAATTGAGCAGCAAAAAAGCAAATGAACCACTCCCCATCCAGATGCTGCTACATATGTAAACAGCAGTGTGTGTGTGTGTGTGTTGACGGGTGTGTAATCAAGTTCTATTCTGCAATTAACATATTTGCCATGGTTGTACTGTGGCAAACTATGAGGGTGTAATTATAGACCCATGGTGCATGCACATGTGGCACCATCCATCCTGTCCTTCCTCATTTTCTTGTTTCCATTTAAAATATTTTGTGTTTATGTTTATATTTTTACGTATTAATTTGATTGATGGACGGTCTCCTCTCCTTGTCTCTCCCTACTTTCCTCTCTCTCTCGGCTTTATTCTCAGAGCTGCACAAAAATTGAACTTAGCATCCAAGAAGAAGAAGCAGAAAACCACTGCAGTCACAGCCCCAGTGACATCATCATCACCGTCATGTGACCCCCCTCTGTTCCCCACTAATTTTAGCGCCGCCTTGTTGATGGCCCCACCCCCGGCTCCGCCCTGCCTTCTCCGTGCAGCCAACAAAATCAAGGATACCCCTGGGCTTGGAAAGGTAAAGGAAACATATCTTTTATTTGTCAGTAGTTTTGGAGGGAATTCCAACAAGTCAACCACACAGTATTCATCATTAATGCAAATAAGAACCAAAGACGTATTTATGTGCTGGTTTGTTCATAATGGAGGACATGTTTGAGAACAGTGCTAATTAACCTCCATTCACTTTTAACTCTGCCTTTGGTAGTTGGATGCCTGGTTATGGCCCCTCACACATTGCTTTGATGTGTCTCAAATGAAGTGCCCGACATGTTGTTTTTCCACTGGCTAGAAGTTAGTCAGAAAGATCTCTTGCAATTAATCCAATTTTCAAGTTTTCAGCAGACATCTCGGCTGTCTCAGATGTTGTCCTCTGCTTTATTTTAGCCAGTTCCTGAAGACATAACTGTGTGTCGTTTTATCACTTTTTTAAAAAAAAAAAGCATTGCCAAATCTAGTTTGTTCATTCAATTGTTAGTTTTATTAGTGTACGTTTTAGTTAGTTAGTCATTAGTGTACTGAGCTTTTTATTTTATGTTGCGTACTTACAATATAGATCCATTGTGTGAAGTATGGAAACACTGGTGTTATACCAAAACAAAAGTGTTGATTTTGGTTATTAATTTTATTAAATATATATAGAGGGCCTGGGGCAGCATTTACTCTCAATTGAATACATTTTAAAGTGATTCTGAAATATTGAACTGTAATATTTTATCATGACCTTGGCCAGTTTATCTGAATATATGTACTGGTATGTGTGTGTGTGTGTGTGTGTGTGTGTGTGGTGTGTGTGTGTGTGTGTGTGTGTGTGTGTGAGTGTGTCTCACCCCTGCCGCACCATACCGGAATGCAGCCTAATGGTTACCACGGTAACACATCTCAGGCTGACAAAAGTCATCTGTCACCGTTGCCAACGGTTGGTGAAACGTGTGTGTGTGTTGTGGATGTGGGGGGGTTTCATGCTTCTCAAGTGTGTGCAATATTGATCGTCCATGTAATGAGTTTTTAGTGCCCCCTCCTCCACAGTTTGAGTGACTCTGTGTGTGTGTGTGTCCATCACTGATGGAAAATGAATGACTATGGAGGACAAAATCAAACAGACATCAAACAGCACTGTCCATTACGGTACACACAGAGGGAAAAGGACCCCACACATGTACTGTTGTGTTTTTGTGTACATAGTTGGAGCACTTGTCTACCTGTCTGTGTGTACCTGCATGCATGCATGTGTGACAATATTAGTTTTTTGTCAGTTTATTGGACAGTCGATAGTGAAGATGCAGACAGAAACAAGGGGAGGGAGAAGGAGGGGGGGATGAAATGCCACAAAGGCTGGGATCAACCTTGGAGGTTGTAGTTACAGCAGGTGGGATGTGCTGTATCCATTCTGTTACTGGGGCACTCAGTTATTGTGGAATTTAAGTATTTATGTCTGTGTGTTGACATTTATATTAAATTCCAGACCCAGACATCAAGTTCTTTCAGTAGAATTTGTCATAACAAACATTTAATCAGAAAAACACAGAGAAAATACTTGATAAAATTAGTTATTTGTTCACTCTTTTCACTTTCCCCTGTCTGCTATGATACAAATCACATTTCAATATAAAAATACATTATATCAAAATGTTACTGTAAAATCAATTGTTAAAGCTGTGAGATAAAGCAGTCTTCTGTATGAGCAGATCTATGCTTTCACATGAGCAGCATTTAGAAATCTCTCTATCATATTGTTTTGTATTATTTGTCTTTTTGTGCGACTGATTATTTTATGTGCTGAGTTTTTTCACCTCGACCATCGTTTGAGCCTTTGTCTCTGTTTCTCTCCATATGGAGGTGACAGATGTCCCCTCAGTTGTCAGGGAGACTGATTCACACTCACATATTTACAAGCACACTAACACACACACAACAGCCAAAAAAATACTTACACCCCTACACAAAAGCTACATATACAGTATACATTATAGACCACATACACATTAACCTTCTTCACACAGTCCGTCTGTCTCTCATTCTGTTTCATTCTAACGTTCTGGCTTCTGTTTCATCCCACTATGATCTTCTGGGATTTTGTGAAAGAAGTGATTAGCTTGTCTGGCCCGCCTTGTTGTGTAAATGTGCCTGCTGCTACTACTGTGTAATTACAACTGTCAGACACCCCCCTTTTCACAGTCATGTGGACTTCTCACAGTTATCATTCTGTGTGATCTGTGTTATGATGGACCTTTGATTAAGGTGTCCAGTCGTTTTAGCCTCGTATCGACTTTGTCTTCCTGTTGCCCTGCATCCTGATTCAACTACAAATGGAGACGACGAAAAAACAGTATCTGGAAAGTCCCCTTCCACTCAAAAATATGTTTTTTCTTCT